ATATAATAATTATTACAAATTATTTCCAATTGTTTTTTTTTTAATATACAGGTATCCAATTTTTTGAGTTTCACACGAAATTGTCTTGATTCTTCATTGAGATCCTTCTCATCGAAAAAGAGGAGAGTCCAATTTTGCAATCCAATAATTAACTCATCTAAAAAAATTGTAAACATTGTTTTTTAATTAAATATTATCCTAGGATACACATTTTAAATATAAAAAGGACTATTAAAATATATACATACGCAATTTTATTGTGAATTATTTAATGTGCTTTCTTCTAAATTTTTTTCGCAAAGATTGTGCATAATATTTTTAAAATTATTTTTCATTCTTAAGTTTTAAATTTCAAACTATAAATTTAAAATTAGGAATTTTTAATGTATAATATTCTAAATTTCGAGTCCTAACAATAATAATAATGAGAAGATATTAAAAAGATTATATTTATTTATAAATTTATTATTTCTAGATAATTTACCTATTTTGATTTCTCCTTCGTCCAGACATTCCTGGAATGTCGATACATCGGTGTTGAATGCTTTTGCAATCTCTTCTATTTTTTTATCATCATCTGCAATTACCTAAAATACAACCATATAACTTTGTACTTTATTAATATGACAAATTTAAATTATGATGATCAATTATACTTGAAGTAATTATATGAAGTAATTATATGATATAAAAGATATAAATTATTTATATCACTTTATAAAAGAATTAGTACATACATTCTAATTCTGTCGTTGTATTTGAAGTATATTTGAAATATAAATATAATTTGTATTTTGTAATTTGTATTTTATATTTCAGCGGAATACACAAAAATATTCTATATTCTATTATATTTCAAGTATTAAGATTGTATTTATATTTTGTATTTTAATTAATTTTAGTAATTTAATTACAATTATATTTATAAATTTGAGTTTTCTATAAGATGAATATTTAAGTTATTGAGAGAGAACTTATTGTGATACTACTATTCCGGCTTCGGTTTAGAGTTTCGGTTTAGAGTTTTTAAGATCAACAAGTCAACAAAAAAATAATCAATATAAAAATAATAAGTGCACAGTTTAATTGGATAACTTTAATTGGAAATTATATAAATTAACAAAAAGAAAAATATTAGACAGGAAATTGAGACCTTAGTAGAATGGCCTTTTTCACTTGTGTTCAATAGACTTATCGGTCGATTTTACTCAATACATTATTGCTTTTATTTTATATTTTAAATATTTTAATGATTTATAAACTTCGTTTTTTTTTTATATTTTGTTTGTTGAGTTTATAATATCGAAAAAATTTTTCCATATATCTAGTCGAAAAAAAATGATCCCGCATCATTCTTATGGGAAAATGTCTTTCTGCGGATTTGGCTAATTTTTGGATATGTTGTAATTCTCTTCACTCTGAACAAATGTCTCAATGGGCATAACTTGATCTTATAAACCGTTTCTGCGCTATAAGCATTGAAAGATCCAGTAATCATGTAAAATCTAAATCTTTCAAAGCTTGTAGCGTGGAAACAATTCATAGGATTGAGTTGTGCTCATTGAGACAGAATGAAGAGAACTACATATTCAAAAATTAGTCAAATCCGCCGAAAGACATTTTCCCATAAACATGGTGCAGGATGCTTTAATTAAAAAATTCTATTGATGTTTTTTCATATTTTGCATTATTTTCGAGATATATTAAAAATAATAAAAAATGACACATTTTGTTAATATCTCTAAAATACATGGGTAAATTTATTAACATTTTTTTTAACTTATTTACATGTCGAATGATCGTATGAATTAATAAAATTAGTTCTTTTTAAAAATCTCTAGGCAATAAGTTATACAATATAATCCTAATTTAAAGCTTGCTTATAAAATGTACGAAATTTAAAATTAAGAAGTAAATAATTTCTTGTATATTGTGAATTCTTCAATAATCCATTTGTATAAAATGTTCTATTTAAATAAGTTATTGAAATAAGAAAGAATAACATGTATGAAAATAAAATGAACTTACGGTAGCAATTAGCGCTAAAATGAAAAACGTAAGTGATCTCTTCATTTTTCTTCGTTTTAGTGATAGAAATTAACAACTTGCATAAAGTTAATCCGACAACTGAAGTCATTGTATTTCTATGGCTCATATTTATATTATCTGTAGTATTGTATATGATATTACATTATTATGCGAGAGAGAATGCTTTGTATAGAGATATACATGCTCGGAAATTTGCTGAAGCACGATTAGTATAATTGGTTGATATATCAGATTTGATAAGTTTCGATGCATTGAAATACTGCGCAATTACAATATGTTCACTCATAGTACGTGCACGTATCAGTCTAAATTAGATATATACGTCAGCGTGTCGCATAGGTTACATTCAGAAAAAACATCAACAAAACTGTCACAAAAACACACTTTTATAATAAAATTGCTATTCATTTTTTATTTTATTTCGAGAGAAATAATTAATAATGTATTATAAGTAAAACACATAAAAACACAAGATAGAATACAAGTTTTAATCAGCATATATAAATAAATATAAATATATAAAGAAAATAATATTTTACATTATCCTTAAGTAGAAAGTTAAGTTGGAAGTATTAATACAAGTAAATTTTGTATAAGAAATACTCTTATTAAAAACAATATAATTTGAAAGTATAGGATTGTATTGCACATCCACTGATAAGCCAACTCATGTTCGCAGCTTAAAAATTATTCCGTCTTTGTCAAATGTTAAACAAAGACCGATACTCACATAAGCGTTGTAAGCACGAATTGACCGCGGCTATAGATAACGAATAAAGAAGAATAGAGAATTATTATGAAATAATAATAACGATAAAAATAATGATAGTAAATTACGGGAGGTAAAAATGATAATGGTAATTATAGTATAGTTACCGCTCGAGGTCGATAATACTGTTTTGTTACAACACGCATGCCTCGCGCACTTAAAGTAATTATACAATTTCTTTAACTTGATCTGGCATATTGTCGGATATATTTCACGATAAATGATTTCTGTGAAAGTGAAACTTTTCTAGCATTGTGGTCAGTTCGGAATTGATTGCTAGATAATAAAATCTAACTGGAGTTACGAATAATGTGTGCGTGTTCCTCATATGGCTAATTTTTTTTTTTTTGGGAATAAATTTACATTAGCATTTTATAAAATTTTAATACAATAGTAAAGTGCCGTACTGAATAAAATAATTACATTTTAAAATAATTACATTTTTTATTGTTGACATTTATTGTAGGAATATTTCAGAAATATTGGTTGATAAATTTTTTGTTTACATATCGTTTCATCTTTATTTTATTTTTATAGAATATAAAAAAATAGAAATAGAGTATTTAATAAAATTTTTCAATTACACAATGTTTTTAGATATTTTCTAAGATCTTATTCTCTTTTCGTTTGATAGACTTTAAATAGAAAATTTGAAAATCTTAATTTTTAAATAAGAAAATTAAATAAGAAATTTATTGTTATGAGAAAATTATCTATAATCTTTTATACTTATATAGATACTTTTATTCTTTTATACTTATTTTTAGATCTTTTTAAAAGATATTTAATATACGACAATCATTTTTATAGCTAACTATCTTTAAAATGTCACCCTTTCCAACATTTTGTTCCAATCTTTCTTGTTTCGGAACAATTTTATGTGATGCTGCATATACGAAATAATTTTCATTACAAACTGTTATTATATAATCAGTGAATCGTTTACGTTTATGTGATTTCCAGCTTTGCTTTATACACGTACATACGCGTGTATATGTAGAGGCATAATTGATCTTCGCATACGATAAAAAGATAGTTTGGATTATAGCGTATTAAAAATTTTTAAATTATATCAAAAAGTGAAATCGAATAATGTTTAATTAAACGTACAAAATATACACAAAATATATAATGTAATAGAGTGGAGATGTACTGTATTGCGTTGCACGCATAATGCCCATGATGTATTATTTTCTTGTTTAACGTTCTATGAACAAGAATATAACATGATTAAAATATTAAATGATAATACGTAGCATACGTTTCTGAACATTTACGAGATAGATGTCAGTTGCGTCCTCTCATGCTTCTTTCCGTCTATTAAATCTAGTGTAATAAAGAATTCTAGGGATTGGATGTAACAATTCTAGTTTCTAGAATAAATGGATCCATTTGAGTATTAAAAAATATTTATTGAGCATATACTTACATATTATAGTGATAATAATAATCATTAATGATAAAAGTAGTATAATCATAATCAATTAGTGGTACAGATGTTTTTAACAAATAACACATTGGTTTTCTTAAATGTAATTTTTAATAAATTTTTTCGATTTATATCGGACTAGCATTTTAGAAGAATACTATCAACATCAGAATTATCGCGTTAATTATTCAAATATATAAAATATATAAAAAAAGATAAACATGTTTACGTAAAGATTACGATATGTTATTGAAAGTAATAAATGCATAAGTAATAAATGCATATAATAAATTATATGGGTTAATGCGCATTATAAATTGTTAACTATTATTACATGTTTGACAAATGTATAAATTATAAAAGACATTAAAAGAATACGAGGCTTATTTATGCGATTCTCTGTAGCAAAATATTTCTAGCATATTTCTGCAAATTTAAGAAGTCAGTTTCTTCTAAATTTATATTGTAAATTTATATTGTCATCATTTCTTTATATTTCTATTTATTTTCATCATACGCTGTTTATATCTTATTGCACACGTAATTATTATTTTTATCTTACAATTTTATTGACACGTATGAATTACACACAGCCTTCTAGATTTAAAAATCAACCTAATAAATTCTTTTTACTACGAGAAGAAAGAAAATCAGTGTAAAAGAGAATCTAGCAATCAAGCTGATGTTATTTTGATATCAAAATGACATCTGTATCATTAGAATAGCATCAGTGACGACGAATAACATTAGCTTATTTGCTGGAAAACTGCATGCGAAAAATATGAATGAAAATCTGTCTACTACTTGCAATAAACGTAATATAAATATATACGAAATTTGCCTTCGAATACGAATTGCTTATTACGGACTCTTATTAGAATTTGTTATTTTTTGTCTCGCAGAAAATATATTTATATTTGAAATAAGATATCTAAACTAGTCTTGTCTGCTTTCTATTCTAAATTACACAATGAATCAAGCTATTTTCTCATTAGTTATATTTGTTATTCGGTATTATAAAAAACGTATAGCAATTTGCACATCATTTCATATGTATATTATGAAAAAAATTTGTGTATTACTTTTTCTATGTACATATACTCACACGTACATACGCGCGTGCGCGTACATGGTGTCTGATAATTATTAAGCAGCACTTGTGGATAGGTAGATCAGAAATTGACGAAAAGAGGATACAAATGATTTATTACGCGCGGATTTTTATTTTTTTTAACAATAAATCTATATCGAAAATAAGTTGCGTCTTGTCTGAGTTGTTGAATGAATCTTGTAAATAATTTTACTGAAAATGTAAGATGTATATACTCAGAATATATATGACTGCGCACCAATTGCTTTCAGACTTCCAACACAATCAATTTGAAATATTAATAATTTTTCCAAACTTAATTAAAAGCATCTTAAAAATCTGTAAAGAATTTATTGTGAAAAATATTACCTCGGCCAAGTATCCAAAGATGTTGTTTGCTTCAAATTTTTTACTATTTTATCAAGTTGAAACTGACGGAAGAGCCCCGCTCTCTCTATGTATATAATTATAAGAAAATTCATAGTTTTATATTTATTATTTAATAGCGTCAAGAAATTGGGTACCGGAAAAGAAAGATTTTGATGGCTGCAACGCTGATATTTGTATCCTCGAGAACAAGATTTCTGTATTAACAATCAACAGAATTGGCTACGTGCTCATCATATGATTCAAAAACAAATTGTTTCCTATCAGTGCCAGAAATTCCATCAATTGTTGATGTCTATGCCAAACTATACACTTGACTGCAATAGGACTTGCTCAGATACGAGTTTAATCGTGTGAGATTAATAAATAATGTAATAATTGTTTCTTACAAAATATTTAATTAATATATTTCGTGTTATAAAACAATTAAAAAGTCTACCTTTTTAATCCTGTAGATTTTAAATTCCAAATTTTAAATTTCAAATTTTTACAGGATTTAACCTTATGATATACAACGCAAAGGAATTAAACAATATATATTTTTAATATAATAAGACTTTAAAGAAATAAATCAAAATAAATGAAAAATGTAAGCCAATATAAACCAACAGTGGATGATAATGTGTAAAACTTGTGCGGATTATTAGCAATTGATCATTACAGACATTTTGATCACAATTTTGATCATTTTCAGTGTAGCAATGAAATGGTAATAGAATTAAATATTGTACATTAAACATTCTATATAAACCAGGTGTTTTGTAGAAGATTGAAAATTTTGTCTACAGACGATTACTTCTAACTTTATAATGACGACATAAGTATCTCCGATTCTACAAAATGTATTGTTTATAATAATTTAAAGTAATGCTCAATATTTAAATCTGTTTTCAATTCATTGTTACACTAAAGATGACCAAATTAACGTCAAAACATCTGTTAAAATGAATCTGTTTTAAAATGAAATGATCAATATGAATTATCAATTATTATTATATAATAATACACATAGCTTTTACACACTACTATCGAGTGTTGGCTTTCAAAAAAATTAAGTTATTACATGATATTTTAATTAAAATAATGATAAAGAATTTATCAAAAAATTTGCAGTTTCGAAAGTACTTTGAAACACTAAATTTGTTTTAAAAATTAACAAAATATATATTTTTATTTACTTTAAATACAACATAATTAGTCCATTACATATATTTATTAATTCTATAAAATTTGATTTGTGACTGAGCCGTAGAGCCGTTATATTGTCCTTTAATTAATTTTTATTTAGAAAGATAATCATTGATAATAAAATGAAAATAAAAGATAGATAATTAAAGATTATAGATTTGCAATAAAAATTCATTAAAGTCAAACGTAATTTTATTATGAAAGCTTATTTTTATAAGTTTCAATATTATGAAATTCTATGTCTCAAACTTAAGCATTTAAAACATTTGTTGTGTGTGTATATTAATACATTTTTAAATTAAAATAATTAAATTAAGTATAAAATAAATTAATTAAAATGTGTGTGTATGAATGTGTGTGTGTATGCGTGTGTGCCTTAAACTTTATTTTCTATTTCTTATTTTTAAATTTTATTGATTTATTCAAAAGTTAATAGTTTTTGAGCATATCACTAATATAATCGCATTTGTATTTATATATTTGTAAAAATAAAATATTTAAACAAATAGTTTAGTTAAATTATATATATATAAATTATATATGTATGAATCCTTGATTTAAAATAATTAAGAAAGCATGAATTTTTTAATGTTTTGTGAGCATGTTTAATATTTTGTGAGCCATTTAATTAAAAGAGAATTAATACTGTGAGGATTAAAAAAAAATTGTTTATTAATGTTTAAAAAATGTTTTTTCTAACTTAATCCTTTCGCCTACAACATCGTGTGAGACTCGTGATAAGGAAATCGAGCCAAACACATGAGTATTACGGATAAGAGCCATGATACATCATTTCGTACAAAGCTTAATTTTTTTTTGAATTTAAGAGAAAATTGAATGTAAGAAAAAAGTAGGGCAAAGGATTAAAACGGTTTCTAAAACTATAAATAAAAATAAACATTTTTTAAACATTAATGAAATATTTTTTCGAACATTTAAATAAACGCATTTTTTAACAAAAAAAGATTGATTTAACTTAAAATTTTTAAAAAATATTTTTCGAATTTTTCTCAATGTTTTTTAAAAACATTTTTACAATCATTATTTGTTAATTGGGTTCTGATCCATGTGTAATTTTATTGGTTAAATTAAAGTTATTCTTACCTAAAAAGTCATGTTTAGACGTAACTTTACCAGAGAAAAATATTGCTTCACTTAATACGGAGAACAATCCCGTGACCATGAATACTGTGGTACTCATATATGTTGTTCTGTATGTGGCTGGTTGGGTATATAAAAATAAATTATCGTAATCCTTTCATTTAATTTGCTTTATTTGACATCAGCAACATCATTTATAAGTAACAAATTTATTGTGAATCTACAGAAAAATGGCGTTTTACTTTGTTTAAATCTCGATGTCTCAGAAATTTAATATTTATGTACTATATTGTCACTGTATATTTATATATATATATGTATAGGAAATATTATGATTTTCTGTCCAATCGATATACTGCATTTTACAATATTATTTTACCGTCTCTCACCGTTTAACTGAGTGAAAAGCAATGTATTAAACCACAGGCTCTATCTTCCCGAGTAAATTGGCTGTTTTCGTTTACTGAAAATTGAAAACAAAATTCTAAGCAATATTGAAAAATATTCATAAATTATGTACATTATTATATCATATATGTAATATATAAAAGTGCGCATTATATAATTCGTATTAGAACTTCTGACGTTTGTACAAAACGATTGTACAAAAATTGTATTGTAAATTGTATTTAAAAAATGCCTACACTGTTTTAGTAACTAACAATGAAACACAACCAACTGATCTCTTCCAATTAATAAACTTTGAATATATTAAAATGTAAACAAAAATAAATATTCGTTTTTTAAATTTTATGTTGAGTCGCACGTTCATTGAAATGCAGATTTGTCATCAATTATTTCAAAATTAAATAGCATTACGAAATTAAAAATGACGGATCTAATATGTAAAAATTTGATTACAATGTTAAGTTCTGTTGGCTTCGAATGAAACTCATTTTCCAGGAACTCTTCTAGTCACTTGTCAGATGTATGGTTGACAAGAATAAATAAAAAGAATCAATAGCATTCATGGAATTTTTTTGAAGCACGCGATAAGATCATTCAAATATAAAATTTTTAATTTTGGATCCGCCATTTTGAATTCTAAAATTTGACTAAAGATTCATAATGAACGATTCTAATATCCTTTAATAAGATATAAATTAAATGCTAATTATTCTTTTAAAAAATGGCAAGCACGAAACGATTAAAATTGTTCTGTATGTGAACGTGCATATGAGGATTGATGTCGAAAAATTCACTTTTTGCATATTTTAAAATCTTTAGATTGATTATATCGATTTTATACGGATTCACGTTTCGTGTATATTCTCACAGTCGAGAATATATACCGACATTATATAAAAGATCTTTTAATATTTATTCAATTTCTCAGATATTTTATTTGGCAGCTTGTTTAACGTAATAATTGTAGATGAACAGCGACTCAACATTTATGCATTATCGTAGTTATCTTTTTTAAATATTCCTTGATCGCATCGCATAGTATAATTACATCTATTCACACAAAAGAAGAAAAATTCCAACAACTCTCAAAATTATCAACAGCAGAATAAGACTAATGAGAGTGCAATGCAATAAATAGAGCACAATTAATTTTACAAAATTATATTAATTACATTCTGTTATTGCACCACACTCTCATTAACTTCGTTCTATTGTTGTTAATTATAATAAAATTGTGAAATAGGTAGAGGGGGAATTTTGCATGCTATTTTGAGTTTACTTACATGAATTCATACATTTTTTCCAATTCATTAAAATTTCCTCTGAAGATTGTGGCACACCATGCTTACTATTATTTTTTTCTATATTTTCAATTATCTTATCTACAACTAACTTCTCATCTTCCATCTGAAAAGAAAAGAACACCAGTATTCATCTGGAATTATGGGTTGTCTATTTAAAATTATTGGCTATTATTCTAATTAATTTTCATTAAGTTTATGTTGGGCAATATATGTCTCAGAATGACCGTAAAATATTTCCTAAGCAGGACTAAACTGAGTCGAATGTTCCTTTACCATTTTGCAATTTTCGTAATAATGAACAAGATATTATTAAAAATCGTCGAATATTGGTTTTCAATCATTTTTTTACTCAGGTACAATTTTACAGAAAAACAATAAGAGATAAAAATTGCTTCTTTTCTTCTCATAGAACTCTAAGAATTTTTTATAAACTTTGTAGTAAGTAAACTGCATTTTCGGTAAAACTGTAGAAAAGGAGAGTGCCCGCCAATGACTTTGACCTTGACATATGTTGTCAAGATCACCACCCTAAGTATCCTTCAGCAAGTTTTAGCTGTCGCTCATCCTTCGTTCAAAAGTTATTAACAAAAAAAGTTTAAGAAATAATATAATATACAATCCCTTTTCCATCATATAAAACAGAAATTTTCTGCTTTAAAATATATTTTACAACTTTCCATAAGAAAGATTCACCTTCCTCTCTCTCCGCTTGGGAGCACACGATTTTCATATTTTCTTATTTTAATAATTTTTATTCTTAAAACAGAAAATTTTTTCCTGATTTACTTTGCTTACATAGTTTACGATGCATGACATATCCATGGATGTATAATAACCTAACGCTAATCAAACCGATATATGGTTTAGGCCTGCTTGGAAGGCGTACAACTTCCACGTGAAACGTGTCTTAACAAAACATGATTGAAAAAATAGTTATTTTATAATTTTATAATTCAATTTCGCACTATATTTTTTATCAGAATTTTTTATGTCTAATAATTTATTAGTATAATAATTATTAAAAATTACCATTCTTTGCTTTTCTAATGTACAAGCTATAAAACCACAAGATTTTATTTCTTCTTTGGCGCCTTCATATTCTTCCTGCATGCCATTCCAATTAAAATTTTGCAATGAATTACGTAACTGCTCTAGGAAATTGTAAACATTTTTTTTAATTATATAATCCAAGAATACATATTTTATATATAAAAAAGATTGTATTAAAATATATACACACGCAATTTGATTGTGCATTATTTAATGCTTTCTTCTAAATTTCTTTTACAAAGATTTAGAAATTGCATAATATTTTTGAAATTATTTTTTATATTTTAGTTTTAAATTTCAAACTATAAATTCAAAATTAGGAATTCATAATATATAATATTCTAAATTCCGAATCCTAATAATAATAATAATAATAATAATAATAATAATAATAATAATAATAATGAGAAGATATTAAAAGGATTATATTTATTTATAAATTCATTATTTCTAGATAATTTACCTATTTTGATTTCTTCTTCGTCCAGACATGTCTGTAGTTTTGATATAGCTATGTTAAATTCTTTTGCAATCCCTTCCAGGAATTTATTATCATCATCATCTGCAATTACCTAAAATATAACCGTGTTGTAATTACCTTGTACTTCATTAATATGACAATTTTAAATTATGATAAAAATAATTATATTTAAAATAATTATATAACATAAAAAATAAAAATTATTTATATATTTTATAAAAAAATTATTGCATAATACATTCCAATGCTATCGTTGTATTTGAAGTACATTATTTAAAATATATAATTTTGTATATTTTATATATCAGCGGAATATACAAAAGTATTCTATATTCTATTATATTCAAACATTAAGATTGACAGTATTTATATACGTATTTTAATTTAAAAAATTTAATTGCTATTAAATTATTTACAGATTCGTATTATAAGTCTTCTAAAACGAAAACATTTAATTAAAATAATTAGTGATATTACTATTCCGGTTTTAAATCGGTTTAAGGCTGCATTTTAAAACCAAATAATCAGTGCGCAGTTAACTTTAACTGGAAATTATATGAATATAAATTCACAAAAAGAAATATATTAGACACGAAAATTAAACCTTGATAGAGTAGTCTTTTCCATTTATGTGTGTTTAATCTTATGGGTTGAATTTTACTTAATACATTATTGCTTTTATTATGTATTTTAAATACTTTAATGATTTATAAACTTTATTTTCTACATTTAGGGTTTATAATAGCGAAAAAATTTTTCCATATATCTAGTCGATAGAAAATTTGATTTCCTACAAAAAAATTCTGTTGATTTTTTTCATATTTTACATTGTTTTCGAGATATTAAAAATAATAAAAAATGACACTTTTCGTTAATATCTCCGGAATGCACCGCTAAATTCATTAAAAAATTAGTTCCTTTTAAAATCCCTAGGCAATATAATCTTAATTTAAAGCTTGCTTATAAAATACGAAATTTAAAATTAGGAAGTAAATAAATAAATTTCTTGTATATTATGAATTTTTCAATAATTCATTGTATAAAATGTTCTATTTAAATAAATTATTGAAATAAGTAACGCGTTATGAAAATAAAATGAACTTACGGTAGCAATTAGCGCTAAAATGAAAAACGTAAATGATCTTTTCATTTTTTTACGTTTTAGTAATAGAAATGAACAAGTTGCACTAAGTTAATCCAACAACTGAATATATTGTTTTTCTATAGCTCATATTTATATTGACTGTGATGTTGTATATGATCTTACATCATCGATATGCGAGAGAATGCTTCGTAGAGATATACATGCTCGGAATTTGCTGAAGCGCGATTAGTATAATTGACCGATATATCAGATTTGAATAAGTTTCAATCAGTATTGTAATACTGCGCAATTACAATATGTTTGCTTCATACATGCACGTATAAGTGAAAATTAGATATATACATCAGTGCGTTGCATAGATTACATTCAGAAAAAACACAGCATCAAAAACTGTCATAAAAATACAGTTTTATATAAAACTACTATTCAATCGAGAGAGAGAGAGAGAGAGAGAGAGAGAGAGAGAGAGAGAGAGAGAAATAATATATTATAAGTGAACACATAAAAACACTAGATAGAATACAAGTTTTAGTTTTATTCAGCACATATTGTATAAATAAATTTAAATATATAAAGAAAATAAAATTTTACATTATCTTTAACTTTAATACGTTGTTGTTTAATACATTATTATTTAATAATTATTATTTTATGTAAAGAATGTAATTACAATTATGTTATAATTGCAATTCTACAATCTAAGATTTAAAAATATATTATATACATAAAATGATATTTATATTAATATAGTATATATATATATATTAATGTGATTAATATAATTAATATTTTGTATAAGAAATACTTTTATTAAATAATAATTTTGAAATATGGGAAATATTGTATTACACATTCACTGATAAGCCGACTCATAACGCTTAAAAATTATTCCATCTTTGTTTGTCAAATGTTAAACAAAAACTGATGCTCATAACATAAGCATTGTAAGCATCGGCCGCGACTATAGATAACGAATAAAATAGAATAGCGGATTATTATGAAATAATAAACGATAAAAATAATGGTAGCAAATTTCAATGACAACAGGTGATAAAAATAATAACGATAATTAGTTCAAAGTCGATGATATGCCATTTCGTTACAGCACACATGCCTCATGTACAATAATTATACAATCTTAATTTTTAACTTAATCTGGCGTATTGTCGGATATATCTCACGGTAAATAGTTTCTGAGAAAGTGAAACTTTTGTAGCATTGTGATCAGTTTCGGAATTGGCTGCTATATAATAAAATCTAACTAGAGTTATATGAATAACGTGCGCGTAATCATTAAATGGCTAATTTTTTTATTTTTTTCCAGAGTAAATCTACACTATTATAAAGTTTTATAAAATTTTAATACAATAGTAATACTGAATAAAAATTGTAAATAATTACATTTTTTATTATTTTTTTATTGTAGGAAATTACAATAAATATTTTAGAAATATTGATTTTGATAAATTTTTTGTTTACATTGTTTCATCTTTATTTTATTTTTATAGAATTTTAGAATATAAAAAAATAGAAATAAAGTATTTAATAAAATTTTTCGCAATGTTTGTAGATATTTTCTAAAATCTTATTTTCTTTTCGTAAACTTGATTTTGATAGACTTTAAATAGAAAATTTGAAAATCTTATTTTTTAAATAAGAAAATTGAAAATTGTGAAATTTGTTATGAGAAAGTTACATTCATTCTTTTATAATTATTTCCATACTTTTTGAAAAGGTGTTTAATAATCGATAATCACTTTTATAGCTAACGGGAAAAACGCCATGAACTTTTTCCCACACCTAATATTTGCTATGATTTTTAAAATATCACCCCCTTTCCAACATTTTGTTCCAATCTTTCTTATATTGAAACAATTTTATGCGATGCTGCATATGAAATGACTTCTACTATTACAAACTGTTATTATATAATCGATGACGTGAATAGCTTACATTTACAAGATTTTCAGCTTCACTTTATATTTTATACATGTACATATATAATAAGTGTATACATATAGAGACAATTGATTTCCGCATAGAATAAAGCAAGATAATTTGGATGATAGATTATTAGAAATTTTCAAATTATATAAAAAATTGAGACTGAATAATATATTTAATTAAACATACAAAATATATACTGCAATAGATAATATAAAATATATAATGCAATAGAGTGGCTATTGCGTTGCATACGTAATGCCCATGTATCATTTTATCCTTGTTTCTCCAACGTTCTATGAACAAGGATAACATGATTAAAATATGAAATGATGATAACACACGTAGCATACGTCTCAGGACATTAACTCACGAGATAAGTGTCAATTGCATTCTCTCATGCTTCCTTCCGTAACTCTATTAAATCTAATGTAATAAAGAATCCTAGAAATTAGATTAACATATTGGATAACATATTGGATTAAAATAGTTTTTAAAATAAATGGATCCATTTGAGTATTAAAAAAGTATTTATTGAGCATATACTTACATATTATAGTGACAATAATAATCATTAATGATAAAGTGGTATAATCATAATCAATTAGTGGTACAGATTTATTTAACAAATAAAACGTTGGTTTACTTAAATGTAAATTTTAATAAATTTTTCCGATTTGTATCGGTTTGACTAGCATTTTAGAAGAATATTATCAACATTAAAACTATCGCATTAATTATCATAAAAAAAGATAAACATGTTTACGTAAAGAGTAAAATATGTTACGAAATAAAAAATGCATATAATAAATTATATAGGTTAATGCGCATTTATAAATTGCTAACTATTACATATTTAACAAAAAATATAAATTATAAAAGATATTAAAAGAATGCGAGGCTGATTTATGTGATTCTCTGTAGCAAAATACTTCTAACATATTTCTGCAAATTTAAGAAGTCAATTTCTTCTGAATTTAAATAGTAGTCAACATTTCTTTACATTTTTCATTATATACTGATTATAAGGAATTATACATTATTGCACATGTAACATTATCATTCTTTATCTCGCAATTTTATTGACACGTATGAATTACACACAGCCTTCTAGATTTAAAAATCAGCCTAGCAAATTCTTTTGCGGGAAGAAAGAAACATTAAGAGAGAATCCAACAATCAAGCTAATGTTATATATCATTATTTTGACATAAACATGACTGACATCTGTATCTTCAAAATAATATCTGTATCATCAAAATGACATTTGTATCATCAAAATGGCATCAAAATGATGATAAATAACGTCAGCTTATTTGCTGGAACATCGCATGCGAAAAATATGAATGAAAATCTGTCTACAACATGCAATAATAAATATATGAAATTTGCCTTAGAATACGGATTGCTTATTACGGATTCTTATCAGAATTTGTGAATTGTGTTTCGTCTCGTAGAAAATACTTGAAATAAGATATCTAAGCTAGCTTCTTTGCTTTCTATTCTAAATTTCGCACACGAATCAAGATGTTTTGTCATTAGTTATATTTGTCACTCGATATCATAGAAAACGTATAGCAATTTGCACATCATTTCATATGTATGTTATGAAAAAATGTATATTACTTTTTCTATATACATATATATACACACACACACACACACACACACACATATATATATATATATATATATATCTGTGCGTGTGTGCATATATATATATATGTTTGTACAAGATAATTCATTTTAATCTTAATAGACAATATTTCGAAAAATATAAAAGATACGAAAAACATTTTAGGCAAAAATGGAATGATTTCGAGAGGGATGTATTTTATTTATTTTTCTAAGGCGACAAAACGATAAGAAGGTAATCCATTTTATTTAAATAGAACTATATGACCTTTTTCACATAATATGATTATTCTAATTATTCTGCCTATAAAAGTATTAAGATAGAGATATCAAAAAATTAACAGTTTAAAAGATATTTTAGTATTTTGTCAAAATATATCAAAATATATCAAAATAAATTATAAACTATCTCGTATTGATTTTTTTATATCCCTACCTTAATACTTTTAAATGTAGAATAATTAGAGGAATCATTTTAGGGATGCACTGGATATCCGAAAAATATCAAGAAATAGCATACTCGATATTATCATACACCTTTTTATTATCCAGCCGGATAGCCGAATATCCGGTAATATATCCTGCGGAAATTTTATATTGATAGTTTTCGTCATTAATGCAGAATTTTATTCTTTTCAACTGAATTTCTTGTACAGTTCATCTTTCCTCTTTTTTTTGTTGGGAAGATAAAGAAAATTATTATTGCTATTTTTCCTTTCTTTTGGAAGCTTTCTTCTAGATGTCGGCAGGATATTTAGGGAAATATCTGGTATTCAGTCGGATAATTAGCCTACTGAATATCCGAAAAGAATTTGACGTCGGATATCCGTATCTGGTATCCGATAATTTAATGATCCGACAGCTCTAATATTGAATAAAACAATAATTCCATTTAAAAAAAAAGGAGTAATCTTTGTATCTTTTTGGTGCTTTCATCTGGAAAAAAATAACATGACCAAAATATGTCCCTCTTGAAATTCACTTTTGTTTGGAACGTTTTTTCGTAT